CGGCTTGGATCGGGACACGGCATGTCCCGCAGGACGGAACCCGACATGGCCGACGAGCCACTCGGACCGGGACCTTTGATTCTTTGATTCTTCACAAGTCAAAAGGTGTTCTGGAATTTCATTGGCTGCAAACTTGTCTTGGACACCAATTCTTTAAGCAAAGAAGAAATGGCAGACTTGAAAAAAAAAATATTTACATTGCTAATGTCTGTCACAAAAATGTAACAGTTGTCTTTGATTTGTGTGGTCATTACAGATTTTCAATAGTAATGTGGTTATCCAGCTTCTGAGAGCTGCAGGTTACTCTTATAAAAAGGAAGATTTATTGAAGTCTGAGATGACAGTGTTAAAAACGCTGGACTTTTATATCAACATTCAATCTCCTTTCACGTTTGTAGAGATGTTATTAGAAGTTCTAGGTAAGTTATAGCACATTCCCCGTGTCTTGAAATATAATCTAAAATTACATTAAGGTGACAATAAGTCAGAAATCCCCCACCCCCCCCCATGCTGCTTTAAGGACTTACCTTAAATTATGCCTCTTGATCCGATCATCTTCTTCTTTCCAGTAGTTTCCAGGAGTCCCTCCAGCGCTGGTGACGGTCTCTGATCCAGCACTGACTGCTGAGTCTTCTGTGTCGCATGGTGTATGTCCTCCCATCTGTGTGCATTGACACTGTGGGGTTGATTTACTAAGCACAAAAACACGCCATGAACACGCCATGGAAAAACACGCCGACTGTGCGCACATGCGCGCATATACGCTTGGCGCAGAAGCGTATGCAGAAGCGTGATTCATGGCGTGTTTATGTGCAGATGCTTGATAAATAGCACAAACACGCGCGCATGGCGTATTAGATTTCCAAGGATTCAATGGGGATGTGCAACAACCATGAGCATAATTCCCTGAGGGAAGCCCAGTGGCTCAGGGGTTAGAGCTACTGCCCCACAGCACCCATGTCCCCGGTTCAAATCCTGCATCAAGTGAGTTGCATTTATCCAAATACAGCAATGCAAATATCCACCCAAAAATCAAAACTGTTGAATCTACACACACTCTCCTCTTCTTCCGGCCGAAGATCTGAACTGCGCCCACCCCATGATCTTTTGCGGCCCCTCGAGAATGTTCAGATCTTCAGACGGGAGTGCGCGGCAGAGACACAGGTAAGTTTAAACCTACTTGGTTCTTTTTAGAGTGAGATTTGGTGTTGTCACTAGAGTGTTGCCCAATTAGTTTGCAAGAAAATAATCTGTGCTTAGGTAGGACAGGACTACAGAAACGTCCAAAAAAATTAACACAAGAGCGCTACAACCTAGCGCTCTAAAGGATGAGACAAGGGAAGGAGGAGAAAGAATACTATATTACACTTACAAGGAAGCCATGTAGAAGTTCAGTATCACATAGTATCCACAGTGGTTACCAAAAACAGACTTCTGGCGTGTTTGTTAAGGTCAAAACGACAGGTGAATCATCTGGTGCAAAAGCACAAAGTTACCAGCATGCTGATCATGTAAGACTGTAACCAATATATAAGGAAAAATAAAATTGCACTCACACTAGTGTGTCTTTAACTAGTTAGTCATCAGTCTAGGGGAGAGAACGACCTGTGGCTCCACTCTGGGTGTGTAGCCGTGCTTCTCTGAAACCCAGGTGTCAGGAGGGAGTCCGGTGGATGGCCGCGGTGACCGTGTTCCTTGTACACTCGCTGGTCCTCAAGGCAGAGTGGCAGCTCAAGGTAGCAGTGCTGTGGAATGACAAGGTCCGCAGCCGTCACAGCTGGAGAAGACAATGCGGTGCGAAGGGAGAGCCGGTGTTCTATCGAAAGCCCCAACTAGGGTTGCCACCTGTCCAGGATTCACCCGGACAGTTCGGGTTTTCAGTTCTGTGTCCAGGTTTCATGGCAGAAGAAACCCGGACACAAGATGTTAGGCAGACAGGCGTAACCAAAATTAAAATAGAGGCTACTGACCCCCCCCCACTGAAAATAGTTACAACTGTGATATTTATATATGAATCGGCTGAGCTATTTACATATGAATAAACTACGACTTATTCTCCATAAAACTGTCCGTGCGTCGCTAGAGTGTGTTCGGGTTTCATTTGAAGAAAAGGTGGCAACCCTAGCTCCAACTCGTCGAAATTTCGTCCAGACCGCGTTACACTGCAAAACACAAAGATTGACGAAGCTCTGTACAGCTGCATTTTAACAATATTCAGCAGGCGGCAAACTCGACAAGTATTCTGAAAACACTATGCGTGCATGCGTACCGCAACTGTACAGAGCTCAAGTCTTTCTGACCACCGGAAGTGAGGTAGTTGGTTTTCGATAGAACACCGGCTCTAGGAAGCAGTGGGGAAACAGGGATGGCAGAAGGTGTGCGGCCATAGGAAGGTGATGCGTTTCAAGGATAGACCTCTTTTATAAGCCAGAAACGGGAAAGAAAGAATACAGAAACTTCCCCTATGCTCTTCTCTGTAACACAGAGGGGAGAGGTTATGTTGTCCTCAGGAGATAGCTGGAAATAAAATGCCTATTATGAGTACCTGGGATCGGTGGGATAACTGTTTGTAAAGATTGCTCACCCCAGGGAGCAATAGCACCCGCTACCTATTCCCCAGCTCACACTACCTATTATCTATCTATCTATCTATCTATCTATCTATACTGTTGATGACATTTGGATGTGGATGCCTTCACTGTGCAGGCATCATGTAAAACTCTTTAATTTTGAGCATTATCATTTTTACCAGCACAACATAAAAGTTGTACTAATGGGATATCATTTTAATCAGCAGGCTTTATTGATTATATTTTCGGGGAAATATATTTGAATATGCAAAATACATGCAGGGCTATTCACAAAAGGGTGAAGAGTTTGGAGAAGGCGGGAGAAGTGAACAATCTAGGCCAATATAACTGATTTGGAAAAATTCTCCATTTCAGCTCACTTTCCATTTCAGCTATGTTGTCCTAGATTGTTCACTTCTCCTGCCGTCTCCAAACTCTTCACCCTTTTGTGAATAACCCTGATAATCTTTGCCTTTGAAAATATTTTTACTGTATTTTCAGCTGTACCAAAAAAAAACAATGTATAATACGTTATGGTTGATTACAAAACTTTAAATATACAATGTGCGTAATCAAGACATCACTGAAACGGAAAAAAAAATGCTGTGGGTCATTTAGGGAGTATAAGGCTTGGGAACTTCACATGTAATGGCTCATCACCTTTACACTCTTAAAGAGGAACCTCACCCTTATCTTAAAATGTACAACAAAGGCACCCTTACAAATGTGTAGTAATGACAATCTACATACAGATACTTCTAGATAATTGCCAGCTTTTTTTTTCTTTACATACCGTACCTTATTTTTCTTTTCCTCCCCATTCTTCTCATGCTGGCCATTTTCAATAAGGGCAGATTAATTAATCTCCTTTTACTTCCTTGGTCTTCCTCATGGAATGTGTGCCAGTGCACATCATCTGAGGGGGTAAAAAAATGCGTATTCCCCTAGATCTCGCAAGATTTTGCAGTTTATAGATGAGATTTCCCAGAAAGACACTTGGAGCCTTCCCGGGATGCATCCGTGAGACCAGGGTTCCATCACCAGTGCCTCACTCAACCAGGAAGTGGAAAAGCAGTAAATAGTAAAGCAAAAGTTTAACTAATGAATGTAACATGATTTCATATCAGCATGCAGAGCTACATGCTGATGTGATTTATAGTGAAAGGTCCATTATATGGTTTATATGACATTTTAGTGGCTAGGTTTATACAACATTCAGATCAATATTAAATAAGAATGAACACAACTGATACACATTTGGAATTTTGCAGGATATAATGGCTGTTCTTTGCCACTAAAGCATATACATGATATGTGTGTGATGGTATTGGACTTGGTTTATTTGCTCAGAAACCCTATTTATCACACCTTACTCAAGTCAACTGTGGACCTGTCAACTCCAAGTAGTACACAGAGGTGAGAGTTTAAGTCCTATCGGTATATTTGCTGACTTAATCCCATTGATTAATAGTATTTTATTTTTAGGAGCAAATTTCTGGCTGTAAAGGAAGACCTAATGCTTCTGGGTACTGGAGTCATTGCAGCAAGCACCTTCATAATAAATCAGAACTCTTGGAAACAGGTAAGAAAAAAACAGTTGTAGTCGATTTGGGACACTAGGGTCAATTTACCAAAGCATAAAGCATGCGTGCATACATTGTTTGCTATTCATACCTTTGATCTCTTGATAGCATACACCTTTTTGTATGTAATATTTAAAACGGAAAGATCACCACATGATTTTTCATGTCTTAAAAGGCTACTTCTGGAGAGCTGCTAGGAGGTGTCCATTGAAGAAAACATTCCAGATGGAAATAACTTAACAATTCATGGGATAAAATACAGATACTTGGGAAATAAATTCTTCTATGTTGGGTAAATAACTATGTAATGCAAAAAGATTCCTCACCTATGTAATAATTATGTTTGTAAACTGAACATTGTGATAAAAACATTATTCTTCCTGTATAATATAAAGGCATCATGACACCACAGGATTGTGTTATGCAATTAGAGTAACTTTCAGACGTTTTATCATGTTCTTGGACAATCAACAAGTGCCCTGACACAATCCATGGTAATTGAATTAAGTGGCTGAGTGACCCATGTGGCTGTAAGGGCCCGTTCACACCAGACACAGTGCGTTCCGGCCCGATTGCGGCCGGAACGCACTGAAACGCATTGCGGCCAGCTCACTTTGTTATGCGGTGGGAAGGGGCGTGGCGGTCCATTGAACTCAATGGCACTGGAGCCACGCCCTCCGGCCGCAATGCGATCAGCCACACGGGAACGCAAGGCACATCAATACCTGTGGTCCGGTCCGGTCAGAAAAATGATGCAAGCACTATTTTTTTTTTTCTGACCGGACCGGAAACGCAGGCATTGATGGGCCACGCATTTCTGTGCAGCCGATCGCATTGCGGCCGGAGGGCGTGGCTGCGGTGCCATTTCTTTTCAATGGACCGCCATGCCCCCTCTCGCCCCACAACAAAGTGAGCCGGCCACAGTGTGATCCAGTGTGTTCCGGCCAGAATTGGGCCGGAAACACACTGTGCCTGGTGTGAACGGGCCCCAAGGGCTGGGGTTTGTTCCTGACTCTAATTAGAGCTGATGAAGCTGCTTGAATAAGCATCCTAAACATTACAGAACAAATCTATTTGATTGTGACTTACTCCTACTAGCTAAAGAGAGAAGGACATTTCCTGTTTGTTCTCATCAGTACTAGAGGTTTTTCACATTTGCAGCTTTAAACCCTCGGAGCAAGCACCACCATCATCTATATGATATCCCTCAGTATTCCACTTTTGCTCCTGACAGTTCCATGCCCCAGTGTGGCACCTTCTTCCTGATGGCTCTGTGCTGGAGGTTGAGAGTGTCATTCACTGTTTCATTCTTCCTCTGTGGCTCCTTCACCTCTGGGTCTGTGCAGTCGCCTGAATCATTCCACCCCTTATATTTAAGAAATTATTTTCTTGATATAAGCAATGACAAATGTCCAATCCTAACCCCTTCCCACACACACATATGCACTGACATAAACACGTGGGAAGGAACTGTATAATCTAACTTTTCTGCCCACAGGAGTCAGAAACAACATTTGAAAAGTGAAAGCAATGGCCTCTTTAGCATCATTCAGACCTGCGTATTTTCTTAACTCTTAGCACTGTACTGCTTTCTCTTATATACTGCACACTGTACTCCTGTTGAGCAACTTTTTCTATACCCACTCTATTGCCCTCTGTGATCATTCTCCTCCACTTCCATTAGGCCTGGTTCACACCTAGGCATTTTTGAGCAGTAGAAAAAGCGCTTTAAAACGCCCAACACAAGAAATCCCATGATTTTCAAGGGCCCCTGTTTACATCTGAGCAGCAAAATGCCAAACGCAGAAAAAAGTACATGAGCTTCTTTTGGCAGTTTGCAGCTCGTTTTTCCCCCCATAGACTTCAATGGAAAAACCAGGAATGTTTGTACGCGCGTTCGTCCATTGACCGCAATGTTTCTCAAGCTGCCAGTCAAAACGCGTATTTCCATGTGCGCGCGTTTTTGCTAAATGCACAAAACATGCAAAAAAAGCTAGCTATACCCAGTGGCGACTCTAGGAACAATATATAGGGGGGGGCACATAAGAAATACTCGCCGATACCAAATACCGAGTACTGTAAGTCCCATTCAGAAAGCCAGGCGGCGTGTAAAGACTCACCACCCGGCTTCCCGATTATCAAGGAAGTCGTCCCATGCTTCTCGTCACTATGTGACGAGAAAGCATGCAGCCGGCTTGCTGGCCAATCATGGAAGCTAGGCGCCGTGTAATGATGCGGCGCCCCGCTTCCTGATTGGCCGGGACCTTTAAGTGTAAAAAAAAAAAGTTTAAAAAAAATTAAAGCATTAAAAAAAATATTCACAAATAAAAAATAACTAAAATAAAGACAAAAAATATTTTAAAGTCCCCCGCCCCCTTACATACACATGCAAACATGCGTCGGGTGCGCCTATGTGCGAAAACGAGGATTGCACCCATTACCGCACATGTTACATATTGTCGCAAACGTTGGAGTGAGAGCAATAATTCTAGGGCCATTAAAACATGGGGGGGCAAGCAATAACCTAGGGGGGGAATTGCCCCCCCTTGTCCCCCTGTAGCGACGCCACTGGCTATATCTGTGCGTACAAACACGCAAAAACGATGACGCCTTAGTGTGATCGTGGCCTTAAGGCTTGCTCTACTCTGTGGACATTCTTTTCTACTTCCATGCACGCTGCCAGTTCTACTTTTTGGGCAATTTCTATGACGTGCATCTTTATACAGACTTTTGGCCTCTGAGCAGAACCATGTTTGCAGCAGTGTTCTGTGATAATGGAATCAAACCGATAGACAACCAGGCTGTTGCATTGTATTTGAGAGCAGCCGTTCGATTCTCCTATGTGCAGCTAGTACACATTATTGTAATACTTGCTGCAGCACTTAGCAGCTAAACTAATGTAAAAGAACAACATATTTATTACTGTATTTGCAGCCTGACTGCATCAAAGTATTAAATCAAGAGAGTTCAATCGAGCTTTAATGTTTTCCCGTCACAAGGACCTGTCAGGGAAGATGTTCATTTACTATAGGGAAGGGGTTAAAAATGTTAATTGGTCATACCTTTGTATTTGGTAATAACTTGGTATCCTCATTTTACAATCAGCATCCTACTTTCTCATTTCTTTCTGACTACAATAGGTATTTTTTAGGGATGCACCAAAATATTGTTCGCCAAAACATATTGGCCAAAAAGGCACTTTTAGCAAAATGCCGAAAGTGCAGTGCAGCCCTGTTTTTCCTCCTCCCCACTGGGCGCTGCTCTGTGTCCCCTCTGACAGAGTTCAGCGTCCAGCGGGGAAGAGAGAAACTGTCACAGGAGGCCGAGCGGTGTGGGGGAGGAGATTGATGCGAGGGGCCGTGTCTCCCCTCCCGCACTGCTCAGCCTCCTGTGACAGATTTGGAGAGGGGTGAGGGGGCGGAGACAGCTATCAGTGCTGTTACAGGAGATCGAGCTCTCCTCCTCGCACCGCACGCTCAGCCTCCTGTGTCAGAAAGGGGAGCAGGTACAAGCAGTCAGCGATCAGTGATCGCTGAGTGTTTGTAAATAATTGAGGACATTTATGTATGAGGACATGTATGGACAGGTATGTTTACTGTGTCCCCAATTATGAATGAATGGGAAGTGATCTACATCACCTCCTGTTCATTCATGATTGTGAACATGGTAAACATACTATCTCCACAAGTTATGAATGAACAGGAACACTCAGTATACTGTAGAGGCTTCCTGTTCATTTATAACAGGGCTGCAGAAAAAGAGATTGAGGACTCAATCTCTTTTTCTATTTTAAAAGGGAATTATCAGGGATCTGTTTAGACCAATAATATTTCCCCGAAGCCCCCAATAGTAAAGTTTAAAAAAATAAAAATAAAATATTTTGAAAAATGTGAAAAGGTTGGGGAAAAAACTATTTTTGATTTCGGCCTGACTTATTTATTTTCGGTTTCGTATCGTTTTTGAAAATGTAATTTCGGTGCACTACTAGTATTTTTCTGTACCTAGGTGAAACAATCATACAGACAGCAAGCACTAAAAACTTTCTATTTTTTCAATCATTCCTTTTTCAGGTTTTGGAACATTTAAGCAACATCACAGGGATCACAGAGAACTCAATCTTTGAAATATGCTCAGCAATACTGAAACATTCCACAGGATTCAATGTATTGACAACACAGTAAGACATGTCAAGTTTTATTATTGAGCAGGAAGAATATCGGCACACACGTACCTTTTTAGTGCATGGCCTTTTTCTGCATCACTATTAAATAAATACATGTATATGTATTTGAGTTGAGTTTTGAGTTGATTGTTTTGAACTTAGTTGTCTTTAGATGTTGGAACCAATATAAAAAAAAACAAGTTAAACGTGATAAAGTGTAATGTATTTGTCATAACAATTGTCATGATGTTGTGATGTTGACTCTGCCACCATCTTATAAGTGAAAGCCCAACTCTGGGCTATATTTTTTTAGTTTGAATTAGGCCCCCAACCTGTAGAAATACAGCTCAGGCTACAAAATTTAACTTTAACATGGAGCTGTTCTCCACCACAAGATGCCCTCTGATGTCATCACATCAGCACCACTCTGCATCATTTAGGACTATCCAACCCACAACAGAGACAAACATTAAGAGGACCCTGCATGCAGTATCATGTGACTAGCCTGAAGACTCCAAAAATGTAATTGCATGAACATAATAGTATAACATACAGCTTGGGGGACCTTCAGGGGAGAAATGGGAGGGTGCCTGGGGGAAAATTGCAGAACCTGTAGTTGGGCTTTAACCCTTTCACTGCCAAGGTGGGTTTTTCCCCACACATTATAATCCACATTTTAGGCCTGAAATTGACTTAATACCCCAGAGAGCTATATATTTCTGGAAAGCACAGGCCCTATAGCATAAAATGGCAGCAGTTTTTACCAAAACATTGGGTAATAAATGTTTCATAATATAATGTGTTGAAAACATTTTTTTTTCAACATTTTCGTTACTTTTTTTTTATATAGTAAAAAATAAAAAAGTGATGGTTAAATACCACCAAAAGAAAGCTCTATCTGTCCCAGAAAAAATATATAAAATTAGCTTCAGTTCAGTGTTGCATGACGGATAAATTCAGTCAAAGTACCGCAGTGCTGAATACTGTAAAATGGCCTGGACAGGAAGGGGATTCAACACCCTGCTCCTCAAGTGGTTAAGGTGTTAATTTTTTAAAAGTCTAGATTTCATACCAATAATACATGCATAGAAATTGTATACCTAAACAATATAAATAAAACCTGTCAACAGGTTGAAGACTTGTGTATGGATGTTATATTGGATTGGAGTTGGGTCCATGCATGTGCAAGAGAAGAGGAGAAGCACTGCAATTATTCTGAAAAGTTATTGTGCACCAATGTGCAAGCCACACAGCAAAGATGGTTTGGGGACTCAGTTTCAGTATAGTTTATGCTACAGCAAAAAAAGGATAGAAAAAATAGGAGGGGGGGCTAAAATGGATGCGTGCACTAAAAGTGAACCTTTGCCAATGCAAAAGGTTATCATGTGCCTGGTTGAATGCCAAGATGACAGAAGCCTTCCCTTATACCTTTGGTCCAGACACCCCTGGAGTAGAGCACAGGGAGTTAGAGGGCACAAAGTGGCATGTGCCAGGAGTCCAGTCCATGAAAGCTCACTTCTGGCAGTAGACTTAGCCGGGAGATGCTCGTGCAGACAAACATGAAGGTCCCAGGGAAAAGGCCAGGACACTGAAACACTCATCAGGCTAGGAGTGTATGCTGGACAAGTGAAGGTCAGAAGCCAAGGAGACAGCGGGCAGGTTAGCAGGTGGAGTCTTGGTCAGATGGCAGGCTGAGGTCACACAGAAATGGCCCACAGTTAGGAGCTAAACAACGTCACACCGAAAAGGTCGACAAAGATGAGCCATAGTCAGGAACTAGCTGATGCCAATAACAGGGAAGCAGAGCTGAGAAACGTTCAATAGTAGGCCGGGTCAGTAGCAGGAAAGCAGATCAGGAACTGGTTCAGGATTCAAATGACAGTGTAACAGCTGAAGACCATCTAGCAACTTCCTAACTCAGCACTGTTCCTTAAATAGGCTGTCTGGCACCAAGATTGGAATTAGGTGTGTGTGCTAATGCACCTATACACACTTATGTCTGCACGCCTTGTGCTTTGCCCTCGTGCATTGGCATGCTCACGCAATGACCCTGCATGCTAGCAATGGCGCTTGTTCTGCTTATTGGCACATTTGCACACCTTCTTCTCTCCTGACAAAGGTTCACCTAACTGCTTACTGATTATTTGTATTTATCCTCATTACTTGCCATTTTTCTCAACAACCCTCCTCCCATGATGCAACATAGAACAAAGCCCAGGTTCCCATTGAAGTAGGATAGAGCTGTATAGTAAATAGGATAGCTCTGATAGAGGAGGCATCATAAAGAAAGAAAAAAAAAATATCTCACACATCTGTCTTTAGGTTGCTGCAACATTCTTCACTGCAGTCAGTAAACAAAAGACAACTCATCCGTATGCAAATACCTGGCAATGCTGGACTAGAGTACAGTAACTGACTCAGCTAAAAAGATCAGTACATCAAAAATGATCCACTAAAAGCTCAGTTTCAATAATCAAAAACCAGTATAGAGCAGTTGCATTTAATCCTATATGGGTCATGTTCACAGCAAGCTTAAAGCCACACTCCAGACAAAATCAGAATTCATAACACTGCACTGGGTGTGTTATGTGCAGAGGGCAGCTGCAAGGTATAAAAATCTTAGCTTGCAGCATGTCGACCCCTGATCACAACGCAGACAGTGAAGACATGGATAGAAGTGACCCGACTCGAGCTATACAGTGCTCCGGTTGCATTAACTGCCCCTCTTCACTATCCTTCATTCAGAATATGTCTTGTATTTTTTTTAAAGAATATAAGACATTCTGTGACTGGAGGAGGGGGGGGACACCATCTCTCCTTTTCCAATCACAAAATGTCTTGTATTCTTTAATTCTTTAAAAAAAATAAGTTATTTTTAGGGCTGCAGCTAACAATTATTTTCATAATCGATTAGTTAGCCGATTATTAACTTTGATTAACCACTTGCTGACCGGGGTGTTTAGACCCCCTTCCTGGCCAGGCCATTTTTCAGTGTTCAGCGCTGCGGTACTTTGACTGACATTTATTCAGTCATGCAACGCTGTACTGAAATACATTTCATAATTTTTTTTAGGGAAAAAAAAACAGTTTTCCCTATGTTATGTTATAAAACAATTATTATTACCCAATGTTTGGCAAAATATAAAAGACGGGGTCACATTGGGTAAATAGACACCAAACATGTCATGCTTTAAAATTGCGTGCGCCCGCGAACTTGCAAAAACTACCATACCCAAAATTGGCCATAGGCGACGCTTTAAAAGCTTTTACCGCTCATCAGTTTAGTGTTATTGGTGATTGATGGCCCTAAAATTATTGCTCCCACTGTGACGTTCGCGGCGATATGTGACATGTGCGGCATAATGGATGCAATCCTCGTTTCCGCACGTAGGCGCACTCTACGCATGTTTGCATGTGTATGTGGGGGGCGAGGGACTTCAAAAACATTTTTTATTTGTTTTATTACCTTTTATATGTGACTTTTAATTTTTTTTAACTAATTCTTTTAAACCTTTTTTTCCCCACTTAGCTTTATTGCTATCACATAGGGGACTAACAAGCCCCCTTTGTGATAGCCAATTTTCAGTGTTAGGTCCTCTTTATGGAGACATCAGGGGTCTTTAAGACCCCTAATGTCACCTAGGGACCCTCAGAGAAGCTGATGAAGCAAACCTGCTTCACCAGCTTCTCTCCGGTTTCTGTACCGGAGAGTGACATAGGAATGCGGAAGTGATGTAATACACATCACTTCCTGCATTCCGAAGAGGAGAAGGAGATCAAACGGAGCATCCGCAAGGCTTAGGAGTGTGTCTAATGTTTGACCATTTTTCCAGAAGCGCATTTGTGAGGTCAGGTACTGATGTTGGACGAGAAGGCCGGGCTCGCAGTCTCCCCTCTAGTTCATCCCAACGGTGTTCTATTGGGTTGAGGTCAGGACTCTGTGCAGGTCAGTCAAGTTCCTCCACCCCAAACTCATCTTGCTTTGTGCACTGATGCGCAGTCATGTTGGAACAGGAAGGAGCCATCCCCAAACTGTTTCCACAATGTTGGGAGCATGAAATTGTCCAAAATGTCTTGGTATGCTGATGCCTTAAGAGTTCCTTTCACTGGAGCTAAGGCGCCAAGCTCAACCCCTGAAAAACAACCCCACACCATAATCCCCCCTCCACCAAACTTTACACTTGAAACATTGCAGTCAGGCAAGTACTGTTCTCCTGGCAACCGCTAAACCCAGGCACGTCCATCGGATTGCCAGACAGAGAAGCGTGATTCGTCATTCCAGAGAAGACGTCTCCACTTCTCTAGAGTCCAGTGGCGCCGTGCTTTACACCACTGCACCCGACGCTTTGCATTGCACTTGGTGATGTAAGGCTTGGATTCAGCTGCTCTGCCATGGAAACCCATTCCATGAAGCTCTCTACGCACTGTTGATGTGCCAATCTGAAGGCCACATGAAGTTTGTAGGTCTGTAGGTCTGACAGTTGGCGCGACTTCTGTGCACTGTGCGCTTCAGCATGCGCTGACCCCGCTCTGTCATTTTACGTGGCCTACCACTTGGTGGCTTAGTTGCTGTTGTTTCCAGTTGCTTCCCCCTTTGTTATAATACCACTAACAGTTGACCCTGGAATATGTAGTAGCATGGAAATTTCACGGAACACCTGAATCCAATGATTTGGAGGGGTGTCCCAATACTTTTGGCAATATAGTGTGTATATATATATATCTATATATATATAGATATATATATATACACAGTATATAAAGTATCTCACAGAAGTGAGCACACCCCTCACATTTTTGTAAATATTTTATTATATCGTTTTATGTGACGACACAGAAGAAATGACACTTTGCTACAATGTCCATTTTGGCTTTATGTTTGTTAAATAAATGATGACAGTGTTAAATGTCATGTGTCTAGTAGACAGATGTCAAAATAAGCAGTATACCAGGGGTAGTAAATGAAAATGTATGGAGGTCCGGTGAATAAAATCATGAATCATGGGCTGGATAGAATGG